CTTGTTGTTTTGTCTGTGGACGACTCGATCGAAAATTGACTGTCTGGCCCAGCCTGATTTTCTAGTCGGTTGTTGTTTTTGTTTCATGTTGTCTGGCGTTTTCTTTTTGTTTATTCTCTTTGGTGATGGCGCTATATTTTCTAAAGTAGACGATCCCAAATCGTTCGATGACAATGATGTGGCACTCTCTTCCCGTCTCGTTTCCGATTGGAGTTTCATTCCTCTTGTCGGTGTTCTTGGTGCCGGTCTTCCCCCAGTTCTTTTTCCAGTTGGCTTCCGTTTAGGTGGACTGGTTTGTTCTTCTTTGCGTGTCAGATTCACTGGTAGTCCTGACGCGTCCTCCTTGAACATGGTGTGTCGTGTTGCACTTGGGTTTTCTATATCTAAACAACGCAAACAAGGACGTATTCTCCGAGCGGATTTATATGCCACATAATCACTGAGTGTTGAGGTACGACTTGGACCGTATATTAGAGGGTTAGGTACAAATGCGGAGCCACTGTTTCCTAATAACCGCGGTTGTTTCCCTTTCATTTGAACCCACGCTGTATGTGGTGTGTAAGTTAGTATTCTCCCATGGGTTGTTTTGTATTTTTGTTCAAATATTTTTAGATCTTTCATTTTCGTGGCCAGTCTAATTGTTTTCCTTGCAACTTGTTCGATTTCCTTAATTATTTTCATGTCAATTTTTTGGTGTATCCCTTTATGCCTTAGATTCAACTTTTCTTTTTCTAAGGCTAATGTCTTTCTATTTTTCACACCTGTAGTTGTTTGTGGACGATTGTCCGCTGTACCTGGATTATTGACATTGATAGGCTCAGGTATCTTGTGTTTGATGTTGACTTCATCCTCGGACCACTTCTGTAGGTCGTGCAAAATCTCCGCAGGAATTGGAGGATGAATCAGGTTTTTCCGATCTAAACAAGCGTGTTTGGCGTTTTCCCAATTTAAGTTGTTTGGTGAACTATTTGTTGTTATATTTGAAAGTAGTGTGTTTGCTTTTTGGCCCATATGTGCTTCAAAAGGTCTGATTTTTGTCCCTCCGTGTGGATTTTTCGTATTGTTTTAGTATTTTCTGCAATGCTCGATGCAATTTTGAACGGGGTATTATTTGGATCAATTTTCATGACTCCGAGTCGCCGTTTGAGTGTTTGTATCAGCCGTTCTACGACACCTATGGATCTACGAAACCTATGGATCTATGATTATCAACCGGAGCGAACATAAGTTTTATGTTGTTCTATTTGCAAAGTAGTTGAATTTTTTTAGCGCGAAATGTTTGTGCTTCATTACAACTTATTCTGCGAGGTACCCATTATTAAAAAAAAAAGCGTTGCATTTTTTTTATGTGCTACATCTTCCGTGGTGTTTGAAACTACCTTAGCCGTTGGGAATTTCGACCACTTATCTACTGCGACTAAAATATAGGCGTCTTTATTTAATTCGTCTGCTAGCGGTCACGCGAAATCCAGTTGGACCACTTGGTTAGGTTCAACCGCAAAAAAGGTCTGTGGGCGACTCTTTACAAACCAGTGTCTTATTTATCCTACTGGCTGTGCCATGTCATACCCTGAGGTATGTCCAATTTTATTATCGAATCCGATCGGATGGTGAACTAATAATGATTATATCTGAGAGCATAAAAAAGACAACTGGTTTGTAAACTCTTAATTTAAGTTCTAAACGGTATAACCTGACTCTTCGTTAGAACTACATTCAAGATCAATTGACCAGCTTAATGCAGTCAGCTTAATGATATAATATGTATATATATATTACTTTGCCAATCCGGCCGGATGACAAAGACAGTATTGGAATATTGGAGTAAAGCATTGACGCATGCTGAATTTAACGATTAACTATAACCAATTTCCAGCTGGAAATTTGTTGTTGTTCCGAACTAGTCACATGGTAAAGGGAGAAAACTATTGCGTATGAAGCATTTAGTTCGGATTTTGACTAACTCAAGTAAGGTTGTAGGATTTCAAAGCCTCATCAGGATTTCAAAGATCATATCGAAGCCTTCTCAGCAATCATTCCGTTTCGATAAATTCAAAGATCGAGATATTCGGACCAAATTTGATGACACTGATTTTAAATTTGATGTACTGCAATGTACAGGTTTCCAAAAAAATGAAGAAATTGTTTCAGTGTCGAAAAAGATTGGTCCAAGTTTGTCCGATTTTCAGACTAATTTGATGACACAACTCAAATTCAATTGTACTGCAATTCTTTAAATCATTTGCTATGATACGCGAAGTCTTTCAATTTGTTACTTTTTTCACTCGCCCTTCCTTGAAAACAACAGGAGTTTCAAAAAATAGAAAAATAATGCTATCGGCTATCAGTACTATTCGAAATCTTTTTTTTGTGAATAAAAATGGCTCAGAGTTAGCGTCCGATTTTGTGATGTAACTTGAGTTTCCCTAGTACGCGACCAAATTATTACGACTGAAATGTTTTAAATGAAGGTTTGTATTGTTGCATATTGAAAAAAGTGCAAAAAATTATGTGTACTTCTTAAGTTTACATTCCAGGTAATGATGTCCAAGAAAAAGCTGTGAAATAGTCTAATTCTCCCATTGATTGTTTTGTATTTCTGTTCAAATGTTTTTTGGGATCTTTCCTTTCTGTGGCTAGTCTAACTGTCTTCCTTGCTAATTGTTCTATTTTCTTTATTATTTTCATGTCAGTTTGTTGGTGTATCCCTTTATACCTTAGATTTAACTTTTATTATTCTAAGGCTAATCTCTTTCTAGTTTTCACACCTGTATTTGTTTGTGGACGATTGTCCGCTGTACCTGGATTCTTGGCATTGATAGGCTCAGGTATCTTGTGTTTGATGTTGACTTCATTCTCGGACCACTTCTGTAGTTTGTGCATAATCTCCGCAGGAATTGGAGGATGAATCAGGTTTTTTCGATCTAAACAAGCGTGTTTGGCGTTTTCCCAATTTAAGTTGTTTGGTGAACTATTTGTTGTTATATTTGAAAGTGGTGTGTTTGCTTTTTGGCCAATATATGCTCCAAAAAGTGTGATTTTGTCACTCCGTGTGGAGTTTTCGTAATGTTTTAAAAATTTCTGCAATGCTCGATGCAATTTTGAACGGGGTATTATTTGGATCAATTTTCATGACTCGGAGTCGCTGTTTGAGTGTTTGTATCAGCCGTTCTACGACACCTATGGATCTACGACACCTATGGATCTATGATCGTCAACCGGAGCGAACATAAGTTTTATGTTGTTCTATTTGCAAATTAGTTGAATTTTTTTAGCGCGAAATGTTTGTGCTTCATTACAACTTATTCTGCGAGGTACCCATTATTAGAAATGTAGCGTTGCATAATTTTTAGTGCTACATCTGCCGTCGTATTTGAAACTACCTTAGCCGTTGGGAATTTCGACTACTTATCTACTGCGACTAAAACATAGGCGTCTTTATTTAATTCGTCCGGTAGCGGTCCCGTGAATTCCAGTTGGCCTCTTCATTAGGTTCAACCGCAAACAAGGTCTGTGGGCGACTCTTTACAAACCAGTTGTCTTATTTATTTTACTGGCTGCGCCATGTCATACCCTGAGGTATGTCCAATGTTATTATCGAATCCGAACAGATGGTGAACTAATAATGATTATATCTGAGAGCATAAAAAAAGACAACTGGTTTGTAAACTCTTTATTTATGTTCTTAACGGTATAACCATGACTCTTCGTTAGAACTACATTCAAGGTCAATTGTCCAGCTTAACGCAGTCAGCTTAACGACATAATATGTATATATATAATACTTTGCCAATCCGGTCGGATGACAAAGACAGTATTGGAATATTGGAGTAAAGCATTGACGCATGCTGAATTTAACGATTAAATATAACCGAATTTCCAGCTGGAAACTTGTTGCTGTTCCGAACTAGTCACATGGTAAAGGGAGAAAACTATTGCGTATGAAGCATTTAGTTCGGATTTTGACTAACTCAAGTAAGGTTGTAGGATTTCAAAGCCTCATCAGGATTTCAAAGATCATATCAAAGCCTTCTCAGCCATAATTCCGTTTCGATAAATTCAAAAATCGAGATATTCGGACCAAATTTGATGACACTGAACTTAAATTTGATGTACTGCAATGTACAGGTTTCCAAAAAAATGAAGAAATTGTTTCAGTGTCGAGAAAGATTGGTCCAAGTTAGTCCGATTTTCAGACTAATTTGATGACACAACTCAAATTCAATTGTACTGCAATTCTTTAAACCATTTGCTATGATACGCGAAGTCTTTCAATTTGTTACTTATTTCGCTCGCCCTTCCTTGAAAACGACAGTAATTTCAAAAAATAGAAAAATAATGCTATCGGCTATCAGTATTATTCGAAATCTATTTTTTAGTGAATAAAAATGGCTCAGAGTTAGCGTCCGAATAAATTAGTGATGTAACTTGAGTTTCCCAAGTACGAACCAAATTATTACGACTGAAATGTTTTAAATGAAGGTTTGTATTGTTGCATATTGAAAAAAATGCAAAAAATCATGTGTACTTCTTTAAGTTTACATTTCATGTAACGATGTCCAAGAAAAAGCTTTGAAATATTCTTATCTTAAATCTTATTCGTTATTATAACCAGATTCGGATTCACATTTTTTCATTCTTTCCCTTGCCGTATATAGGCGGTAGAAACAAAATGCTCAGTACAGAATTTCCAGACACCGAAAACACGACTGAGATATGTCTCTTTTTATGCTAGAAAATATCATTTTGATACATCTTTTCAGAATCCGAATTACAGCCTAAGGGGATTTATTATGACAGCTCGCGCAATCCTGTGCGGGTTCATTTGGTGCACCTAAATCGCGTTGAAACGCCATGTAAGTCTAATCGTCCTTGCCACTCCGTAATTTTGTATATTATTTTCAACTTACTGTCGCTAAGATATTTTAACATAGGGTTGTTCTGAATAGTTAAGCCTTATCTACTGTTCTGTCATTCAAAGTCTTTTTTCTTGTTGGCAGACTGCAGTACTTAGCAGTGCAGAGATGCAAACAGTGAACGACCAGTGGGAGTTGGACAGGAGTGAGATCCAGATCAAAGAGAGACTGGGCTCTGGCCAGTACGGGGATGTGTACAGGGCCATGTGGACCAGGTTCCAAGGGGGAGTGACGGTGGCTGTGAAGACTCTGAGAGAGGGCACTTGTAGTTTGGACGAGTTCATGCAGGAGGCTCAGATCATGAAGACACTCCGACACGATAACTTGGTCCAGTTGTTAGGTGAGAGATCGATTTGAACAATATTCTTTGCTTGAGATAAATTAATCATCCAAACTTCAACAATCAGTGCTTTAATATTTGTTAGTGCTACTTTGAGATATATTTATTGAATGCAATTTTGACGGGCATTGATATAATCAGTTTTATGCAATAATTACGCACACCAGCGTTTAAGAGGTTCTTGGATTTTTCCTTTTTTTTTCAAAGTACTCTGCCAATTTTGATATTGAATTCAATTTAAAAATGAATAGAAGGAACCTCTTTTGTATAAGCTGCTTATCCTTTGTTTTAGTTCGGAAACCCCTAAAGTTTTGGTTGAAATTTCATTTTTTGAATCGGGTTCCAATTTTAAAATTCAGCATTTCATCCCGCATCAGTTTAATATCTTCCTACCGAGATCAACAATTGCCTCAAGATTTAGCTGGAGGCCTAGTAATATGTAATTGAGTTCGGAAATTGTAGTCGAACGACTGAGGGGGGGGGGGGGAGGGTTCAACCTCTTGTCAGCCTCTCTTAATAGAATGAAGAAATTTTCTAGGCTTTCTAGGTTAAATTAATTGTAGACGTTTTTACTTGCTACATTAGCGACAAATTAATTTCCAGACAAATTGATGCAGGTCGGTTCAGTTTTTAATTTAGATCTTGCATTAGCTGCATATAAAGCACACATGGACAATGTATAAGCAGTACATTTTGGTTGATTTTCCGCTTATTGGCTGACAGTTTTAGTTTTGTTTTGTCAGTGTTTCTACCTAATAGTTTGTTTCTACCAATTTTCAATTTTTTTTTCAAAAGATTGATAAGACTAGCTCCATATTTTTGAATGCTCAAAATCTACCCCACAAGTTTGTCTTGAAAAAATTTTCAATAAATTTAATCATGAAAAACAACTTTTTCTTTTTTAAAAATTTTTTGTTTTTCTGGTTCCTTTTCAAATTTTTTTCTTCTCTCGAAGTCTTTTTTGCTATTTCTTCAGCGTCATGCTGTTTTAATTCTATGCTTGTTGTATCTCAAGTGGTGCGAAGTTCAGCTTTGTAATGTTTCATTTCTGACAACATTTATCAAAGGCAGAAAATTTTATTTTGTTTTCAGCGCGAGAGAGTTAGATTTTAATTGACATTGAAGTCAATAAAATTTTGAGATTCTTAGAAAGACTTCAATAACTTGTGAAGCCATGGGATTTTTCATAAATTTCCTGGCATCCTTATTATTCGAGGATTTTACTGGAATAGTAGGTCCCAGTGTTAGTTGAGATTGAATGTTCGTACGATTCAATGCGACTTACATGACTACACATTGATAGCCGAGGTTGTTAGGTATTTTTGTATTCCGAGTGGTGCGAAGCTCTGCTTCACTTCGTTGTATAGTAAGCTATAAATATCTTGGGGATAGTATTTGCTCTTACATATGGTTAAAGTCAGAGATGATAACCTTTCATGTCCCTATTTACCATCCGAATTCCTGAAATCTATCCGTCACTACGAATCTCAAAATAGTTATTACAATACAAAGCCATAATATCTGTTTGCAGACTCGCGTTGTTTAATTTAACAAGCAGTTATATTTCATTTATCGGACATATTATATTACTGAAGTCAAATTTGAACTTTTGGAGACTGTTTGGTAATCTTTATTATTTGCTTTGAAGTTTCGAGCTTTTGTTTTCATGCACAGATGAAACATTTAGGAATCGACTGGGATTAAATATTACCCAAGAGTATCTGACTTGTTTTCCCTGTGCAACTTGTGGGTTCCTCGTGACATAAGACGCTCCTGGGAGATTCTGTGAAGTTTGTAGGCCGTTTTAGATTTGTGGGCTGCAGTGATTCTTTAATCATGCAGACGGTTTGATCAAAATGAACTAGTAAATATTATAAAATTAAAGTTTTCTGTGGCAAAATGTCTGCAAAGGTTTTCGGAGTTTCTTTTCCTAATTCATTTGTCCTCTAAATCTATGCAAAGTTAATATATTCAAAGGAAATTTAAACATAATTTGAAGAGATAATACTGACAATTTATTGTTCCAATTCTTCAATGTTTAAATTCCAATTTTTTTTACAACCTTGTAAAACGTCGACATGTTTGCCACAGTACCAAGGAATATTATGATATGCCATAGAGGTCATAAATTTTCCGGATAAAATTAATTTGGCATTCAAATCATAACTAAATGAGCCTTTTTGTTTTATAAACCGTAGACTAGTTGATATTTAGTTAATGTGGTATTAGTGTGGAAAATTATATGCTATTTTTCATATGTATTTGCTAATTTTCTTGATATTTTTTGAATTGTAGGAGTGTGCACGCGGGAGATGCCGATCTATATCATCACAGAGTTCATGCCCCGAGGCAACTTGCTCAGCTACGTCAGGTCACAGGAGTCTCTGAGGAAGAGGGAGACACAGACTACTCTCATGTTCATGAGTAGTCAAATTGCAGCCGCCATGGCTTATCTGGAGAGCATGAACTACATTCACAGGTTGGTCACACGGATTCTTTAGTGCAACCGGGTGTTGGACTTTCTACTGATACCATGTTCCTAGAATCGTCAGCTTGCTTAATTAGTATATTACATGCCTCCTACTTTTTCCCGCGTAGCGTAGAGGGAAAATACAAGGAGGAAGAACAAATGTCTTGTCGTGTTCGGACACGAAAATTGAAAAACGGAAGTTACAAACTTGCGGATTGTACAATTTTATTTGTCAGGCTATCGTTTATCTGTTTCTTTTTTGGGAATCGTTTTTTTTCTTCTGTTTTTTTTTGGGAAATTGAAAATTTTTTGCTTGAAAATTTTTAGTTGTCGGAGTATTGTGTCTTATTTTTTCACGGCTAAAATTCCGCAACATAGACTATTTTCTGGTTTAAGCAATCATTACAATAATTGAAAGCCAGTCTGGTTTTGCCTGTAATGGTTGCTGATTGATACCGGAGGCGAGCCGCTGACCTTAGTCGTTGCAAGCATGAGCGTTATCTCTACGCCAAAACGGCAGATTTACGCCTTGATTTTAGATGACGCGATGTGTCAAATGAATCAACTGATTTTGTAAACGGATCAACCGCCTATTTAATTTTGTAGCATAACCAATTGTATGAAAAGTTTCTAAAACAATTACATAATTCGCGTTTGACTGAAATGCATATTTCATATCCAATTATATTTTAGAATTAATACATGCATGGGGAGGACATTTTACGGTAGGTCACGTGTCTTTTTACTTATTCCGCCCAAATTTCTTAATTTTGCAATATTCAATGTATAAATGCTTTGATTGAACTGGTTGATTTGGTTAATGCGATCACCTTATTCTTAAGCCGACTCTTAACGAGGCCCAATTTTGAGCAGATGCTTGGCATTTTTTCCTGTAGCTATTTTTTGTGTATTTTTTTCTGATCTGGATAAAACTAAGTTATTTTTATCAAAATGGAACAGTTCTCAAAATAATTAAAATTTTTGGCTATTTCGACTTATTTATAAGTCGACTTAAAATTGTTAATAAAACATTTTGGAACGGCACTGAAATTTGAATGGCTGATTCTAGCCAATCAGATTGAAGCAAAATGTTTCAGTTCAAGATGTTGAAATATTGATTTTTGGGCGGAATAAGTAAAAAGACCCTAGGTTACTAAGGGTGGGGAATTTTTGCGGTGATTTCTTATTAAGTTCAGTTCATTTCGTTTGTTAAAAGCAGAGCAAAATCCACTATCAACAGCAAAAGTGTAAAGGTCATGAAGAACTTGATCGATTTCTAGTTTCGGAGGTTAATTGCCTTTATTACTAATTTCGGATTTTAATTATTTAAGATTTTCCAGCGGAATAAAAAAATTGCCCTCCGAACCCACTTTCTCAAGTAGGGTTAGTTCAATCTAAAAAGTGTTTAACTTTGAAAATGCTGGAATTTTGGAAAGCTGTATAAATACAGGCGATTAAAAGTCAAGCATTTTTTGTCTCCTTGGGGTTCATTGAGACCATTGTAACTGTTTTTTGGTTATGTTTCAAACCTATGTTTAGTTAGTTTTTCAACTAATTGACATCGCAAATATTAGTCAATGTTTTTAATTCTGCTATGCTAACTGTGGTTTACATATTGTTTTCTAGATGCACAGCAATCGGTCTGTTAGTGCCTCTAAGTTATTTTGGAGAACAGAATACGGATCTTGTTAACTATTTCACCCCCCCCCCTCATTTCGATTTTCAGAAATTCAACTTTGGCGGCCCCATTTTCTATAGCTTAAAACAAGTTTCAGAAAATATATATTTATATATTTAAAATTTTTACGAGGGTATTATATACATAGTGAGTAATACAAATACGAATGCGCGAAAATGAAAACCCACTTAATTGTTGACATTTTTGAAATGCATTTTATACAGAAATGTGTCAAAAACAATACATGCATAGGGGGGGGGGGGTAGTTAACAAGGTCCAAAAGGGGGGAAATAGTTAACAAGATCCCAGACGACATTCCTTGCAGTGCAGATAGCCGATTCTTAACTACAGCTCAGCTGTTCGTGAATTTTTCGTTGAACTTTTTTTCCTTTGAGTTCGAGTGTTGGAAATTCGAAGCTCAGCTTCGCTTCTGTTTTTCAATTTTTTCTCTCGGCTATTTTAGCATCTCAAGAATTACTAGAGAACTAAACTAAATTGCTCAAAAAAGTCAATTAATGGGGGTTTAGGATACATCCGCCTCTTGTTGATTGCTAATTGGATTGGGTCATAGTGTCTGTAACATGCGTTTAAAGCGTGCAGAATACGATAAAGGCCAATTAAAAAACTGCAGTTTCTCCAAAAAGGGGTTTTAAGTCATAATATCTGCATTTTCATTTAATTTGTTCATTTATAAATGTAAGATACCAGAAATCAAGAAAATTCTTAAAAAAAGTTTGCATTGTTATAAAAATTTTTATGTAATTTTGAAATACTAGCACTGATTGCTAATTAATACCATTAAGTACACTTGTTTCAAAACAGCTATTAAGAACTTAATGAAAATTGGAAGCAGGACAATACACTTCACCCTACCTCAATCTACCATATGCCGTTCTACCGTATGCCATTCTTACCTATACACATATCTACCGTATGAATCTATCTACCTATACGAGTCTTCCATACGCCCTATGCTGTCCTATTGAGCTGTTTTGTTTGAATCCCTTGATTGTTTCCTTTTTCTATATGAACCGGAATCTATTTTTAAATCGCTTGATTATTAGAATTAACACTCACTGATATGTCGAAGGAAACTGAAACAAGATCTAAATAATCTGCGCGGTTTGGTTCCTGGATATAGAATATCTGAAAATGAATCTGCTCGATAGATAATCTCTTTGGCCGACAACTTAAGTGTCTAGTGTGGTTTTGAATTTGGATTGTGAGTGTTCCCCAAAATGCAGGGATAACCTCAACTCAACTACCCACTCAAATATGCATAATTCATACTTTTACCCCTCTCTTTTGCCGTATGGAATGGGAATAATAAAATACATTAATTCAAGGTATTCCCTGCTTTTCTCCCCTTGAATCGCTTGTTTGTACTTTTACTGTAAATGAAAACACACGCAAGGTGGTTGCGCAATTTGCTACCTGGTTGAGTAAATGTTCTACATACAATGAACCAACACTCTCCTTGTCTCTGGTCGCTTTAGTATATTTGTTTTCGTTACAATTTCTCTGCCTGCGAAGATCATGCTACTGGTCGTTTGTCTCCGTTCGTTCCGATGACAATATCGGAGACTAAATTTTTGACACTGAATGAAAAATAGACTCAAACTCTATAATTTTAATGGTAGGAAATTTGTTGATAAAGGTAAACAGACAATTTATTGCATCTGTTGCATGTTTAAACTAAATTCAGTCATAAACTACATGTCAGTCTGGTCTCTAAGATTGCTAAATTACATGTAGTGCTATCGGTTAGATGTTATTGTGAGTGTCAAACAGAGTTTTATTGCAAGTGATTTATCAAAAATTTATGTTAACGCAGATACTACTAGTAGTTTATTTTTTTTCTCTAAAACATTTTGAAGTTTATTCTATCAAATTAAGTTTTCACGGTTTCACTTTTGATTTCTATTTTAGTTCAATTCAAACGAGTTTGCTGAAAAGAAGGGTAATCAGGGGGTGGATCTAGGATTTTCTCGAGGGGGGCAGATTTTTCAAAAAATTTTGACGACCTTTTTTTTATGTCGACCAAATTGATTTTCAGAGCTCTCCGTTTTTGGGCACTTTTTGGAAAAGTTTGACAAAAAAGTCGCGTTTTTTTTGGCGCGCACTCCCCCTCAAAGTTAGTATATACTGGCGCCTTTAGAAAAGTTTTAGGGTCGGTCGGCCAAAACTGGATTTCTTAAAAAGTACCAAAGGGGGACCCTTTGGGTTGGCAGGGGGTCGAATCGAATCCATGAGGGGGGGGGGGGGGCTCCGCCCCCCTTTAATCCGCCCCTGAGGGTAATGAAGTCTAAAAAATGGGAACTGCATTGAAATTGTTAATGACGAGACTAAAAATGAATTTAAGCTTCTAGAAATTCTAGTGGAATAGAAAAATGATTTTATTGACGCAGGTTTCTCTGATTATGTCAGTTTTATGGAAAAAATTGTCAACCATAAAAGATTCATTTAACCTTTTTGAATTTAGGTTTAAGTACACTTCCGAGCCTGCGAGCTTTCATGTATTAGTACGGACCTTTTTTTTGTAACCTAAGTCGCAAAAAAAGTATTCCTTATCAGTGTTCACTTATTTGTGGCATTTTTGCTATAATCACGATCTTTAGCATTGGAATTTTTATAGCATCTGTACTCTGCTTTCTTTGTGGCTATTGTTTGTGATTTATTAAGCGTCCGTGGCTGAGTGGTTAGTTCGTGAGACTATTAATCTCTAGGTCGAAGAGCGAATCCGATACGCAGCCGAAGTTTTAATAATTTGAGGATTTTTTTTGGAATTTTCAACTGTCAATTAGCTATGTTTTTAGTTAACTTTCCCTGACTGGTACCATTTTTGATTCTTTTTTGATGAGAAAATTTATGCGGCATAAATATTTTCAGCTCATGTTTTGTCGGTTTAGTGTGCTTATTTTGCTTAGGTTTAAGGATAGAAATTGACAATTTTTATTTTGAATAAATCAGGTAGGTTATAGTATAAAAGTTACAAATTCAAGCACTTTAATCTTTTTATTTAATATTTACATCAATCCCTTCATCTTGACTGCTGCTCTGGTCTGTTTTTTATAAATGGAAAGCAAAATGTATTGGTATCAACTTTTTTTTCTAACCTAAGTCGCAAATAAAAGTGCTACTTTTTGTGGCACTTTTGAATCGATAGGCTGCAGTAGGAGTATAATGTTATATGTGCTTTGGCATTTGATTAGTAAAAAGTTAGCACAGCTGATGCATTCTTAATTTATCAAATGAACCGATAGAGGTTATTTGTTTCAAGCAGCAGTACAGTGATAAAAAGCTCGACTTCAGAAATTATTCAACACAATTT